TTGGCCTGGAAAGCTTCTTTCTCTGTCTCCTTTCCTGGCAGAAACTCCAGAAATTCTCTGTCTGCATTTGAGGCTCACACACACACACACCAGGGCAACCTTTGTCAATAGGTGGATTGCAAAACGAACAAACAAAAAACAACCAAAACCAACAACCAAATGAAGCATATACTGAATTCAGTACATTCTGTCAGGTGTGACCTTTCCAAACAATGGTGACAGCTGTGCTATTGCATCCGCATTCCATATCAGACAAACACTTCTGCCCATTCATCAAAATGTCCAAGGGGTGACTGCATATTTTCATGAGGGAAGGGAAAGGAGAGAGTAAATTAAGGGCAAGTCATTAATGTGAAATGTTTCCACGTGTGCTGCAATTAATAGAAAAGACACATCATAATGTTGGGCCAGCAGTGCTAACTTCCCAGTTGGACAGGACTGGACCAGGGTGAAGCACAGAGATAGAGTGAACTCATTTCATAGATAACATCTCCAAGGCCAATATGGTAATTTTAAATACTGGAAATTATTTCTCATGACAAATGAATCCACATCTCCCCAGCCACTTTTCCATCAAGGCATTTCACTCTATCAATGCCAGCAGTAACTGCTTGGCTTGGCAAAAAAACAGAAAGCATAACGGGAGTGAGTGAGCAATCAGCAACCAAGATTGGGCAATGCCAGTGCTGAAATGAAACTCTTGACATACCATGGCCTACATCAGGGGCAGGTAATCTTTTCAGGGTTGACAGATGCATTCTCCCAAGGGGGAAAGTGGTAGCCAGGACAAATATCAATGGCAGGATTAAGGTGGGTGGGGACACCTCTTTTATTCCCTTTTCCTGATGCCTCTTTCTGTTGGACTCCTATATCCATCTGTCATGAATTCAATCCCTCTTCCCTGTTGTCTCAGATGAGATACTCGACATTCTATCCCAGTTCACAATGACAAATAGTCCAATGTGAGGTAGTGGTGGTATTCATCCACTAGTTGGTTAATGTTAAGGGGGTCCTGTTAGGGGAGCAAAGGATGAACATTGTCTCTCTTTTTCAGTCCTTTCCCCACTTGCTCTTATCAGTAGAAATTCTTCAATGAATGAGAAAGGTCTGAGCTGTATGGATGATGGTATGTCTTTCTCTTGACTCTTAAGGTGAGCTCTGGAGTTCCAGGATAAATTTTACCATTTTTAGTGAAATGGAGATGCATATTCTAATCTTCTTGAAAAGTTAGTCCTTCATAGGGTTGCTGGGGTGGATAAGGGACAGGGCTGCTATAACTTTAATTCTATAGAGATTAGGGAGCAAGGAAAAGTACTATAGAGCTCCATCAAGTGGGATGAAGAGACCTGGCCTCCCTTATCTTTCAAATCTCAAATTTTGGATGTAGCTATCCTTTCCCAACATGAATATTGCCTTGTCAGTTCAGGGGTGGTTAGAGGTGCCAGTGACAAGAACAGAGGTGGGTGCTCTTCTGTGTCCCTTTCCTGCAGGGAAGGCAAGAGCCATGTTGGGAGAAGATGCCTCCAGCTGAAAATTGGAGTTTGAAAAGTGATGGATGACAGGTACATTTGTCCTGTTGACAGAGCTGTACAGTACCATATCCTGCTCTAAAAGGTAATCAGGATTAAAGTTTCAGGAACCCCATCCGGTATCCAACCTGGGAACCCTAGCCGCTCATAGTAGATCAACAAACATGCAACATAAAGCAGCCACAATCTGAGATGCAAAGGAATATCCAAAACCTGCTAACAGGGAATTAAAAATAATTCCAAACATTATACAAATCTAGTCCACATAGCCTCAAAATAATTTTAAACACTAGTATTCTACTGGGCAAATAGGCAAACATCTGGAAAATATCCTTAAGCATTTTTGTGTTTAATGGCTACAAAAATGAAAACTCAAACCATGTACCTATTCCTGTGAATTTGTAAAATGCAGTGTTCCAAGAAAATATAATGGCAGCCCTATAGCCAAATACCTTGGGGTAAGCATCACTGACCTCAATGGGACTTAATTCTGAGTAGATACATATATGATTGTGCTGTAAATATTTATCATAAAATGTTCCATGGTCATTCATAAGCGTTGTTTAAACAAGTGGAGGTGGGGGCTGGATTCTGTCTAGATTAGCTGGCAATCCTGAAGTACTGACCTAGAACACAACATTACTTGAATTTTGGTGTGGCATTAAAAGCTTGCATGATCACATTTTACTTCCAATACAAAATCTTCTACCCATCCCCTGTAAGCCTCCCCGAACCGGCAGACACCTGGAGGGAGAGCCAGAACACCTGGGCCCCCGCAAGTGCTTGTGCTATGGAGATTGGAGAGACTGGGGAGAGTCTATCATCTTAATTACACACATTGTATTTTTTAATGCACTGTATTTTAATAATTGTTCTTAATTTGTTTGTTGATTTGTTTTGGGGTGGGGGGTAGGAATGAGGGATGGGATATGAATGTTGCTATTTGTTTGATGTTTGGGGAGGAGGGAAGGACATTGTTTAATTTGCTGCAATGTATTATTGTATTATTGTTGTTTAATTTGTTGTAATGTATTAAGGTATTCTGTTGTTCACCGCCTCGATTGGTTAGCCAGAGGGGCGGTATATAAATAAACCATATTATTATTATTATTATTATTATTATTATTATTATTATTATTGCCATTGTCTTTCCCGGAGGCCCGGAACAAGTGATTTGCCCAAGGTCATTCAGTGAGTTTTCATGGCAAGCTGGGAATCAAACCCTGGCCTCCAGAGACATAGTGTAACACTCAACCCACTAAGCCACACTGGCTCCAAGCATTATTCTTTTCTAGTGAGTCATGCCTTCTCATCATATATCCAAAGTATGACAATCTCATTTTAGTCATCTTGGCTTTGAGAGCGCATTCAGGCTTGATTGGCTCTAGGACCCATTTATTTGTGATTTTAGCAGTCCAGGGTATCTGAATGTCTCCAGCGCCACATTTCAAATGAATTCATTTTCTTCAAAATATAGACATGCTATGTAGATCTCCACTGGATTTTCATGAACCATCAGACCTTCACCTGAAGCTTTTCACCAAGTTGTAGCAAGCTGATTAGACAGCTGATGCCTAAAATTTTCATTTGTTTCTGCTTTTTTATAAGAACTTTTCAAAATTCAAAATATCTCCATAAATTTGACAGAAAGAAAATTTTAAAAACCCCAAAAACAAATGTAGGGGAAAGTGCGGCTAACAGAATGATCCAACCCAGGAACAGAGCAGCAACTGACACTCCCATGGTCCACTCAAATGAAGATGTACCCCAAACTCATCAGATCATTTTGGAACATGAGTCAAAGAGTCACACTAGGACGATTATCCATTTCTGGCAATAATAAGGTTAGTTTCCGGGCCCAGTACAAGGTGTTGGTTATCACCTTTAAAGCCCTAAATGGCTTGGGTCCAATACGGGACCACCTCCTCCTGTATAATCCACCCTGCGTACTTAGGTCCTCTGGGAAGAATTTGTTGCAGCCGATAAAAACTAGACAGTCTGCAACCACCCAGAGGACCTTTTTGGCTACCACACCCAGATTATGGAATGGCCTGCCGGATGAGATCCATCATATTACCACCTTAAACAGCTTTAAAAAGGCTGTTGAGATGGATCTCTTCCAGCAGGCCTTTCCTGAATAGATATCCCGACCATCAAAAGACAGCCATCCTGCTGATTTGGCTGTAGCTATTGTTATATGTTTCTTGTTCTTTGTGTTATTATTTTAAATGTGTTTTAAATCATCATTATTTAATTGTATTTTAAGGGAGGGTGGGATTGTGGGATATGAATGTGTATTTTAAAGTTGTAATCCTCCCCAGTTACGTTGCGCGGAGGGGAAGGATAAAAATAAAATTTATTATTATTATTATTATTATTATTATTATTAGGTGAAAACAGCAAAATACATAGCTAAATATTTGTCATTCATTCACAACAACCACCCTCTAACACCTCAATATCAATAATGGTGGGGCTGACCCTGTCCCCCCAAAATTAAGGCCTTAAAAGTAACCATAAGCACTTTGAATTGTGACTGGAGACAATTTTAAGAGTTGGCAAGATTTGGAATAATTTGAGCATGTGATACATGACTTCGGGCAGGGGTAGGCACCCTTTCCCCTTTAAGGGCTGAGGGACTTCAACTCCCAGAATCCCAGGAGCTATTGGCCAACATGGCTGAGGCTTCTGGGAGCTGAAGTCCTTCGGCCCTTAAAGGGGAAAGGTTAAGTGTCTTGGCTCAGTGCTAAGGAATCATGGGAACTGTAGTTTATAGTGGCACCAGAGCTCTTTGACAGAGAAGGCTCAATGTATCAAAAAAAAATACAATTCCCATGATTCCCTAGCATTGAGCCAGGGCAGTTAAAGTGGTCTCAAGTTGGATTATTTCTGACAGTCTGTTCAAGTCCTTAGTACACTGTTAAAGCAGGAGCTAAAATATATAGGAGATCATTTCAACTGTGCCCTTAATTCACAGATGGTGCAGCCAGTCCAGAAAAGAGTTCTTCCTTTTAACCAATCAAAGAGACAAAGCAAGAGCTGTACAACTCACTCCACATAGTAAATAATTTTGTAGCACTTCTTATTACCATGTAATTTTATAGCTCCTACATTTATTGGATACATAATGGGCAGATGTGCATTGTGTCATTAGAGAGCTTTTAGAAAATGCTGCATAAAGGTACTTGGCAGATAATAAAATGGAAACTCAAGCCCTCTGTTTACCAGCACATAACCAACAGCAGATGTATTGCCCTTCCTAAGCAGCACCCAACAAAGCAGATAATGAAAAACAGTTGGTGCCAAGGTTAAACAGGGAGGTGAGTGAAATTTGAGCAAGAAAGTCTCCTGTATAGTTTGGCAAACCACCCAGCCCTCATTTTTCTTGTATCCTAAGGATTCAAAGCTCAGGGGGAATCTGTTGCAGAAATTCTTTTATTTTTTAAAAAATAATAATATTTTTTTTGAAATGAATACAATCAATTTTGCATACATATAAAAAAGAACAAAATTTGAAGTAGCAATATGATTAGATGGAAAATCATTTATCATTACTAAGGGGCTAAGCAGACCAGCATAAAGAGCTGGCCTGGGGGGCAGAGTGGCGGTGTGGAGACTGCGCGCCAGCTGCCCCAACTCTGCCCTCACGTCGGTTTTATGCCGTGCACCCAGTGCCAGCGGGAGGTGTCAGGGTGCTCCCTTGGCACTGCATCCACACACGCTGTGCCAAAGGAGCGCCAAAAAGCCTCTGCCGCAGCAGCAAGGGTGGCTTTTTGCCACTCTAAAAAGGAGCAAATCACTGGATCAGGGGTGCGGCATGCAGTTGCCATGCCCTCGATCCAGCAAGCAAAGGGGAGGCACAGAGCCACTCCTTTGGGGTGGTCTGTTCAGCCCCATTCCTGTAAGTTTCTGAAGTTGCTGCACATGTGCAGATATAACTCATTTGTGTGATTCGCAGAGATCACAAAGAAGAAATATTTGTATGCATTAATTATATTTTCTATTTTCTAATTTAAGTGATTTTCCATTTCATTTGATATTTACAAAGTTTGACCATTTAACTTTCCAGTAATTCATTTATGGACTCCAACTTTTATTGACTTTTCTTGAAGATTATTTGTCAGCCAATAAGTACAGTGGGCCTTTCATATTTGTTGGGGTTAGGGATGGAGGACCCCTGCGAAAATAGGAAAACTACAAATACATTTTAAAAAAATATTTTTTTAAAAAAACAAACACCTGAGAACACCTCTCTAGGAATCTCTAGGTCCTCCAGCACAATGTGATGGTTGACCTCCACTAAAGATTGACCACAGAATTGTGCTGAAGGACCTACCAATACCTAGAGAAGTATTCTCTCTAGGAATCTCTAAGTTCTCCTGCATAACATCTGGCAAAAATTGGCCATAGAGTTGTGCTGGAGGACCTAATGATTCCTAGAGATAATGTATTAATCAAATTTGTGAATAATCAAATACACAAAAGTCAAAGCCACAAATGTGGAGGGCCGATTGTAATTCTGTCCATGTCCATCATATCAGCCAATTTAATCAGCCATTAAGTTGATTTTAGGATATCTTTAGTTTTCCATTTTTGTGCATACAGGATTCTTGTGGCTCCTATCATGTACAAGCTCATTCTCCAATTTTTGCTTTCAAAATTTTCTTCTGGCACAAATGTCCTATTTAATAAATAAAGTTATGGCTACATTGGGAAGTCTTTTCTAAAATGTTAATCATTTGCTTGTGAATTCCTTTTCAATATTTCCATAAAGCAAAGCAGCTTCATTTATATACCGCTTCATATCGTGCTATGGGATGTATAAGCGGTTTACAAGTGTAAGCTCATTGCCCCCCAACAGTTGGATACTCATTTTAGCGACTTCAGAAGGATGCAGGCCTGAGTCTAGCCTGAGCCCTGGCAGGTATTGAACTCGCAACCTTGTGGTCTATGAGTGAGTGGCTGCAGTATAGGCATTTAACCACTGCACCACCAGGGCTCCAAGGCATTTCCACTACATATGGTAGAAAGTTTCTAATTTTTTCTTGACATTTCCAACATTCATTCTTTACAATTTTATGTATCTTATCCAACTTTTCAGTTGTGCTGGTGTAGAATTTCTCCATTTTTCTTTCTTCAACACAATCAAGAAGTGCTTGGTTAATTTCTTCATTTTTATCAATCAATCAAGTGATTAGTTTGTTTTATTTGTCATGCAATCCTATATACTCTTGATTTAGAAAACTTGAATTATAATAATATCACAGAACCATGGTCAGCTTATCTACAGAAGTGTTACATCAGGGGTCGGCAACATTTGTTGCCGGGGTGCCGGGAGGGGGAGGAATGGCGCAGGGGCCAGGCGGGTGAGCGCGCGCACACTTTCCCCTTGTGCACACATGCACATGACACCTGCCATTGTGCGCATGCATGTGCAAGCACAGGCGCCATTTTGGAAGGCCCAATTGTGCCATGTACCCCAGCACGGCACGGGCACCATTTTGGAAGGCCGCAGCGTGCGTACGCCAGGCAAATTTACCTGGAGGAGGTACGCTGGGGCCTTGCCAGGGCCCAGGGAAGGCCCCAGTCCTCCTGCTCCGGGTGAATTCGCCCAGCGCAGGTGCGCTGCAGCCTCCCCTGGGCCCTGGCAAGGCCCCAGCACACCTGCTCCAGGTGAATTCGCCCAGCGCATGCATGCTGCGGCCTTCTAAAATGGGGCCCATGCTCGCACGTGGTGTGCGGGGCAGTGGCGGGACCGGCCACGGGGCGGTCCCAAGGCTCCGTGGGTCACACCCGGCCCACAGGCCATAGGTTCCTGTGTTACATAGACCTGATAGACGCTCTGAAGAGACGTCATGTGTGAAGGCTTTTAGATTTGAAGTAGGGATGTAAATCCTTGATTACTTCCTCTTCACATGCAGGATGAATAATTACTGCTGTTTACTCATTGCTGTGGGAGAAAATGCATTATTTCTCTATAATATTCTTCTCACATTTAAATATTCCAAAGTGCTATGGAAAAAATTATCTGCTAAAATAATTTTGGACCCTCCCCCTCCATGTTTTCCATAGAGAAAGGGTGTTGCTACACAGAAAACAGTGGTTTGTTGTGTTTTTTTTTAAAAAAGAAACTTGTTTTATGAAACTTTTTAAATTTGCATTTTAAAAGTGGCATGCACTTATCTGTTTAATAATTCCTCTGCAACATTTTGGGACTGTTACCCAAAGAAAGGAGGGGGGGACTGGGGATCCCCACCAATTATCAGCATAACT